GGCTCTCGAAGCCGAAATACAAAACATGGTTGTCGAAGTCATAGATAAAAAACAAAAAACAAAAAAAGAAATAGTAAATCCTGAGGGAAACCACTCACCCCCACCCTGTGATGGACAAACTTCCGAACTAGTGGATCAACGGCTAGATGCCATTTATGATCAAGAGACCTTGGGGTTCGAGAAGGATCTAGATTCAACAAGCGCTTAGATGCTGGTGCAAGATCCTTTGGAGGAAGTTGATATTGGGGATGGCATCGAAAAAAGAGTTACGTATATCAGTGTGAAACTCAGTCCCAGTCTAAAAAGTAAGGTGGTCGAAGTGCTAAAACAAAACAGAGATTGCTTCGCCTGGGACTACGACGAAATGCCTGGTTTAAAGAGGGAACTGGTGGAACATAGGCTTCCAATCAAGGATGGCAAGAAGCCCATCAAGCAGATGTCTAGACGATTTGCCCCAGCAATCCTCTCAAAAATAAAGGCAGAGGTGGAACGGCTCCTTCGATGCAAGTTTATCAGGACCACAAGGTACGTGGAATGGCTTGCTAATATTGTACCTGTTATTAAAAAAAATGGCTCTTTGCGAATTTGCATAGATTTTAGGGATTTAAATACCGCCACCCCAAAAGATGAATATTCCATGCCTATAGCAGAAATGCTGATTGATTCTGCTGCGGGTTTCGAATACCTGAGTATGTTAGATGGATACTCTGGGTATAATCAGATTTTTATTGTTGAGGATGATGTTCCCAAAACTGTGTTCAGATGTCCAGGCGCCTTAGGCACTTATGAATGGGTAGTTATGCCCTTTGGACTAAAAAATGCTAGGGCAACATATCAGAGGGCAATGAACACCATTTTCCATGATTTCGTTGAATCATTTATGCAGATTTATATAGATGACATAGTAGTCAAATCTGTTTCTGATGAGGATCATTTGACTCACCTTGGCCAGTCATTCGAAAGAATGAGAAAACATGGCTTAAAAATGAATCCTCTTAAATGTGCTTTCTTTGTGCAGGCTGGGGATTTCCTAGGCTTTGTGGTCCACAAGAAGCGGATCAAAATTAACTTGAACAAGACGAAGGCTATTATGGAGACAAACCCTCCATCAACAAAGAAAGAGTTGCAATCTCTATTAGGTAAAATCAACTTTTTAATGAGATTCATATCTAATTTGAGTGGGATAACTCAGGCTTTCTCTCCACTCCTCTGTCTCAACCAAGGGAATTTCGAATGGACGGTGCAGCATCAGGAGGCATTCGAGAAAATCAAGGCCTATTTGATGCATCCTCCTATACTTGCACCCCCTTCTAAAGATAAGCCAATGAGACTGTATATCTCTGCCTCCAATGTAACTATAGGTAGTATGTTGGTCCAAGAAAACGATGATGGCGTCGAAAGAGCCATCTATTATATTAGTAGGGTCCTAAATAAAGCAGAGACTAGGTATAGTAGCATTGAAAAACTATGTCCCTGTCTGTATTTCTATTGTACAAAACTTAAATATTATATTAAACCAGTTGATGTTTATGTTTCATCTCACTTTGATGTTATTAAACATATGCTTTCAAAACCAATCATGCACAGCAGGATTGGCAAATGGGCTTTAGCGCTCACTGAGTATAATTTGGCCTTCAAGCCTTTAAAGGCTATGAAAGGACAAGTAGTTTCAGATTTCATAGTGGATCACTCTGTGAGTGAGGACTTCGCGTTAGATTATGTTGAGATCCACCCATGGAAATTATCCTTCGATGAGTCAACACATAAAAACGGAAGTGGGGTTGGGGTCCTTATAATTTCTCCTGAAGGAATTCCAACAAAATTCAAGTACAAGTTAGAAGGCCCTCCCTGTTCGAACAACGAAGCTGAGTATGAAGCATTGATTGCTGGACTTGAAGCTTTGTTGGAATTGGGGGCAACCATAGTCGAAATTAGTGGAGACTCAGAGCTGGTCATCAAACAGATAACCAAAGAATACAAATGTATCAAAGAAAATTTGATCATGTACTTTGTTATTGTTAACAGATTACTCAAGAAATTTGAATATGTGGATATAAAATATATTCCAAGAATTGATAATCAGGAAGCAAATGACTTGGCTCAAATAGCCTCAGGATATAAGACACCTAAAGAAAAACTCCAATACCTCATAGAAACAAGAGGCAGAATAATGGCTACCAAATTATCACCATTAGACTTAGAAAATTCGAAACTTGGTTATGCAAATCAGAAAGAATTCGAAGTGCTAAACATTGATACTTTGGCAGATACAGATTGGATAAGTCCTATAATAAATTACTTGAAAGAACCTTCAGTAAGTACAGAGAAAAATATCAAGTATAGGGCATTGTCTTATGTGCTAATAGGGGATGAACTTTTTAAGAAAACCCCAGAAGGAATCTTACTCAAATGTTTAGGAGAAAACGAAGCATATTTAGCATTGTCCAGTATGCACAGTGGGGCATGTGGGGCACATCAAGCAGGTCACAAAATGAAATGGTTGTTGTTTCGATATGGAATGTATTGGCCCACTATGCTCAAAGACTGCATAGAATTTGCTAAAGGATGCGAGGAATGCCAAATTCATGCAGGCATTCAACATGCTCCTGCAAGTGAGTTACATTCAATTGTTAAGCCTTGGCCTTTTAGAGGATGGGCATTAGATCTAATTGGTGAAATACGACCAACATCATCCAAAGGCAACAATATATCCTTGTGGGTATAGATTATTTTACAAAATGGGTCGAAGCAATTCCTCTAGTGAATGTTGATCAAGAGGCTATTATGGAATTTGTCTAGAAGCAAATAATTTACAGGTTCGGAATACCAGAAAGTATCACAACAGATCTAGGTTCAGTTTTCACAGGGCGAAAAATGCAAGAGTTTGCAAAAGAAATGGGATTTAAGTTACTCACGTCAACCCCTTATTATGCTCAAACTAATGGACAAATGGAAGCAGCCAATAAAGTCATAATAGGGTTGATAAAGAAACATGTAGGACGAAAGCCAAAGAATTGGCACAAAACTTTGGACCAAGCTTTATGGGCATGTCGGACATCTCCTAAAGAAGCAACGAATACTACTCCGTTTCGACTTACATTTGGGCACGACGCAGTGCTGCCAGTCGAAATACATTTACAGTCAGTGAGAATCCAAAGACAAAATGAGATACCAGCTGATCAATATTGGGAAATGATGATGAATGAATTAGTGGACGTGGATGAAGATAGGCTACATGCTTTAGAAGTTATGAGGAGACAGAAAGAAAGAGTAGCCAGAGCATACAACAAAAGAGTTAAAAGTAAATTGTTCTCAACCAATGAGCTGGTATGGAAAGTTATATTACCTATGGATAAAAAGAATAGATTTTTAGGTAAATGGTCACCCCATTGGGAGGGACCCTTTCGTGTTTTGAAAACGTTTTCGAATAATGCTTATGAAATCACTACGCCAAAAACGAGTTTTGGCACCGCTACATAGACAGCGCTTATGCAAAAGCGCTGCTGTAGGTATCCAAAAAAAAAATACTTTAGACAACGCTTATTAAAAGCGCTGCTATAGGCCTTATCAAAGGCAGCGCTTTTTCTCCCTAAGCGCTGCTATAGGGTTTTAAAAAAAATAAAAATTAAAAAATTAATAAAAGGGTATGCTTTAGACAGCGCTTTCAAAAAGCGCTGCTAAAGGTGTAAGTCTAAAAGCGCTGCTAAAGGGGGGTACCTTTAGCAGCGCTTCTTGAAAGCGCTGCCTTTGTGTAAATCTAAAAGCGCCGCTAAAGGTGGGGTAAGCCTAAAGCGCTGCTAAAGGGGGGTACCTTTAGCAGCGCTTCTTGAAAGCGCTGCCTTTGGTTTGTTAATTTATTTCTAAACCCCTAACCCCTAAATCAGATTTCCAGAAACACAAAATTAAACCCATATCGCTGTTCATCTTCTTCTCCATTTGTCTCCTCCCAAACTCCCCCTGTCTCACTCCATTACTCCCTTTGTTCCGTCATCTCTCCGATATAACTCCCTCCGGTAGTCATCCAACACCGCTTTTCCCATGCAACTCGCCATCATTTCCCCTCCTCACCATAAACAAGCTTCCGCCAAAACAACTTCATTCAACCGTTCCATCTTTCATAAAACCCTAAAAGAGCCATTTCTGAGTGTTAAGATTTGGCCGAATTTGCTTCAGCTGCCGTGAAGATGGTGAAAGGACGTCAAGGCGAGCGTGTTAGGTACCTTCTTCATTTCGTCTGTCATCGTTTTTTTCTTTCAGATTTGCAATTTTTTGTACTCGTAGCTTTTGACGTGATATTGTAGTTTAATCTTTTTTCTGCTATTCGTTTTCAATTTGTGTTAGGCTTTATGTGAGGGGCACAATTCTTGGATACAAGAGGTATATTCTTCATTCCTCTGTAAAATTTTTAATTCTTTTACCCATGATGCAAAACTGAAATATAGTGTTAAGAGTATTTTCTTTGATACTTATTCCTTCATGTTGTTTTTGTAGATCCAAATCAAACCAGTACCCAAACACATCTCTGGTCCAAATCGAAGGAGTTAACACCAAGGAGGAGGTAGCTTGGTATGCCGGCAAGCGATTGGCATATATCTACAAGGCCAAGGTGAAGAAGAATGGTATGCCGGCAAGCGATTCACCTTCAAGGCCAAGTGATTATTTGAATAGTGATTTTGAAAAGTAGCTTTTTCTCGATCTGTATTTTCAGGTAGTTAATACGATTAAGTGATTATGATTTAAGTTACTTTTTCACCTCTTGTTATTGTTACTACTGTGATTATATATGTATATATTTTCCATGAAGCTGAACCTCACGAGTCTTATTCTCAACTACCACAGTTCTCTTCTCATACACACTGTTAGTTGGATGCATTATAGTTTTCAAAGCAGTTTTTTCTGTCTCACTCACTCTTTGACTCACTCTGATAGTGTTTTTTGTTTGTATAATTATAGATTTGTGTGACTTGAAGGTGAATCAGTTTAAGAATAATCGAAGGAAAATGAAAGGTGTGGTTCTTGTTGCAATTGCTGCTTCCATCGGGAATTTTCTTCAGGGTTGGGATAATGCTACCATTGCTGGTAATTTTCTTGCTTTTTTCTTTGATTCTTCTAATTTGGTTGTTTATAGATTTAATTAGATGGTTAGTAATTACAACTTACAAGGTTTTTTTTCTTCAAATTCGACTTATTTGTTTACGGATTAGATTAGATGATTAGTATTTATGATTCAGGTTCAAATGAATTTGATATACAAATCATTGATCTTAGTTTGTATGGTTAAATGATTCAATTTTTTGTTTTTGTATCGGCTGAATCGGATCTAAGATATGTCTGGATTCAGTTATTTGTGTTTATCTGCTAACATAAGCACTTCTGAGTCTGTTTTAATATAAGCTATAAGCTTATGAATCCATCTTATAGCTTATGTGAAAACTTCATTTTATTTTTTCATATGGAAATAAATAGCTTGTACATAAGCACTTATATGATATAAGCACTTAATTAAGATGTTTGTTCGAATAGGTTCTAGTATGGTCCAATTTAACAAGCAAAGTGTTTCAGCATGAATTGTATGGTGTGAGTTGCTTATTGAATGCTTATTTTTCATGTTTGTTTGTAGGTTCGATTCTTTACATTAAGAAAGACCTTGCTTTGCAAACAACTATGGAAGGGCTTGTGGTGGCCATGTCGCTAATTGGAGCTACTGTCATTACGACTTGCTCTGGTCCCATCTCAGATTGGCTTGGTCGGAGACCAATGTTGATAATCTCATCCGTGCTGTATTTCTTGGGTAGTTTGGTGATGTTATGGTCTCCTAATGTTTATGTGTTGTGCTTAGCAAGGCTGCTTGATGGATTTGGTATTGGCCTTGCCGTAACTCTTGTTTCGGTTTATATATCGGAGACTGCTCCCTCCGATATAAGGGGGTCGTTGAATACACTTCCCCAGTTCAGTGGTTCTGGAGGAATGTTTTTATCATATTGTATGGTTTTTGTGATGTCATTGAGTGCCTCGCCTAGCTGGAGAGTAATGCTCGGGGTTCTCGCTATTCCTTCTCTCTTCTTTTTTATATTGACATTATTCTTCTTGCCCGAGTCTCCTCGATGGCTCGTGAGTAAAGGAAAGATGCTAGAAGCTAAAAAGGTTCTCCAACGATTACGTGGCCAGGAAGATGTGTCAGGTAATGTTACTATATCTAAACCAATTTCATCCATTTGAACAAGGACAGTGTCTCTTTACGTAATGTTGGGTTCATGGTTACTTAGTTTTAGACAAACGTTAAAATTTTAATTGAAAGTATGCACTTAATTGAACTTTGTTCAAGCTATAGCACTTAATTGTATTGATGTGTTTTGTGTTTGATACCGTTCATTTCTTCACACATTATCTTTTTGCCTTTTTATTGTTAATTTTGTTATCTTATATCATTTTATAAATTCCTATAGGCGAGATGGCATTGCTGGTTGAAGGTCTCGGGATTGGAGGTGATGCATCTATAGAAGAGTACATACTCATGATATTTTGCAAACCAAAGAAATTGTGAGTATTATTGTTATTGTTGTTATTCCCTAACTGTAGCTGTTGATGATGAATATGATGATCAGTAGTAGTAGTATAAGTATTATGATCATCAGAATCTTGTTCTTGCTTACACCAAAGCTTCTGAGTTTGAGTTTGTGCACCATAAGGGTAATGCTGCAACTGCATGTTGTTGGTATTGTAAGGGTGTTGTGGTTGTTGGAATGAAAGAGCATGCCAATTAGCTGCTGCATAGTTGTTGATGACTTGATCTGTTAAATGGGAATTAGTAGCATTATTATTGATGATGCTATGATGATGATGATGATCTTGGCCAATATTAGCCTTTTAAAGTTGTGGATACCTTGTCCTCTCCTTTATTGTACCTTCCTATATCCTCTTTGATATTTTGTAATAAAACACTGTAAAAGTATATTATGTATTATGCGGGTAGCTCTTAAGACAAAGGGAGTCACTCCCTGTCTACCTTTGATAGCCGTGTAAGGAAAAATTCTCTATAAAGGCAAATCCCTTAGGGAGACTTCTATTCTCCATTTTCTGTTCAATTTTCAGTAACGTGCTTCTATTCTTTTGATTTTTTCTATTTCTTTCTTTACAATGTCTTCAGGCTCCTAACAATATCTATGTATTGTTTCCTTCTAGCTAATTTCTTAATTTGAGTATAATGATAGTTAAGTGTTTCACTTTCCTCGTATCTTTGCAGGTGGGATCTAGGTACCTTGATCATCTGATTGTGGAAAGAAAGTATGGTGAAGCAGCTTCTTTATGTCCCAAGTTACTGTGAGGATCAGCTTCGGCATGGGAGAGGTACTGCGTAAGGCATTAAGATTATTTGTAATCGGCTGTGGGGTTCATATTTTGTAATTGAGTGTTAAATTAACCATTTTCACCATATGGGTCTTCCACTTTGCACATCTACGTCAACTCCCTGTTTTGGTTCCTTACATGCCTACCGAAAACCCGAGACTACGTGATACTGCTTATGAGGTTTCGTTAAAACACACTGCTCTCTGTTACAATTAACATGTATGATTAGCATCTGTATTTAATAAACTGGGAATATAATTTATCTATTATGCTTTTGACTCTACAGCTTGCTCTTGTCGCATTGGTTACAAATTCATCTTTCCATAAGGATCTCTTATCCACTGTAAAATCCTGGCCATCTGTAATCTATTCTGCACCACCTGTTATTTCAGCCATTGAACCACAGCTTAATACTTCGTCCATGACTGACTTACTCAAAGAGGTTAATCCCAATTAATTATAATTGTATTTTGAACCCATCAACATTTTCCTTCTGTTAACATATTCTCATTCCATTGCAGGCATTAGCGGAGTTGTATGTAATTGATGGACAATATGAGAAAGCCTACTCATTGTATGCAGATGTAGGTGGTGTAATTATTTTTTTCTTTCTTGCATTCAGGAAGCAGTTGCATTATATAATGTCATACAATGTCTATGTTGTAGGTGGTATATTTTAAACCCAACAACATTTCTTTGCTTTATAATAGAGTCCATTGTCTATTTTGTTTTGGCTGCTCATTCACTTTCATTTTCTCACTTCAACTTTTTTGTTTGAAATTTTCAGCTTATGAAGCCAGAAGTATTTGATTTTATTGATAAACATAACCTACATGATGCAATTCATATGCCTCTGCTACATCATATGCAATCTCATTTCACTAAATTATTTTATTGAAAACTGGTTTGAATTATGGAATGTATGAGGATGATTTGGGATATGTAAATGGCGTTTGTTACAGGTTCTGGTAGGTTCAATTTGTGATGTTGATGATGGTTTCGCTGCAGGAGGGTATGAATGGATTTGGATGTGGTATAAAAGTTGCATACTAAAAGATCACGATGTTTTTGATACTTGGCCTTGAAGATGATAATTTGAAGATGAAGAAGCCTGGGAATGAAGGATGAAGTTATCGAGACCAAAGGCTTGGTCTTGAAGCAAACTTGAAGATACTTTTTTAGAATTAGGTCTAGAACCAAATCTTTGTATAATTTTCCTTGAAATTTGTAAAGGATGACTTTTCTTGCGTTGATGTATTGGTGCCTTTGAATTTGGAGCGTCCTTGCATTTTGTACACTTTGTAATTAATGGTAAAAAACTCCAAGTATTCAAGCCAACTTTCTTCTCCAAATTTCATACTCCTTTCTTTGATCTTGAAGTATCATTGATAGAATGATAATGAATATTGTGGACTTTGGTGATGAATGTATTTGAAATTTAGCTTCACAATTCGAACTTGAATGATGATGAATAATGTTGAATAGCAATTGAACTTAAATTTTTAAAAAAAATAAGGAAAAGCGCTGCTAAAGGGGGGGGGGGGTAATAGACAGCGCTTTTCATGAAAGCGCTGTCTAAAGTGATTGAAATTTTTTTTAAAAAAAAAATAAGGAAAAGCGCTGCTAAAGGGGGGGTAATAGACAGCGCTTTTCATGAAAGTGCTGTCTAAAGTGATTAAAAAAAAATGAGGAAAAGCGCTGCTAAAGGGGGGGTAATAGACAACACTTTTCATGAAAAGCGCTGTCTAAAGTGATTGAAAAAAAATTTTTTAAAAAAAATGAGGAAAAGCGCTGCTAAAGGGGGGTAATAGACAGCGCTTTTACCAAGCGCTGTCTAAAGTGATTGAAAAAAAAGCGTTGTCTATACCTTTAGCAACGGAGGTTTTAGCAGCGCTTTTAAGCGTTGTTAAAGACCTAAAAAAGCGCTGTCTAATCCCTTGTTTGGCATAGTGAATAGAGGAATTAGCAAAAGATAGAAGAATCTTGAAGGTAAATGGGAAATACTTAAAAATGTATAAGCCATGCTTGCAAGAAGTTCGAATTACTACAGAATAATAAAAGTAAAACAAATATTGGAGCCAAAATGGTATTGCATAAATGCCAAAATGGTTGTGTTCAAATTACAAAAGTACGTAGTAAATATCCTTGACAATAAAAAAGCATAAACAAAATACATTCGAAAATCAGAAAGGAGCTCCTCGTTTCAGCTTAGCAAACTTGCTCTTGCATAAGTTGATCTTGCATTGGGTGGCATTTTTGACGCTTTCGAGCCCCTTGATCTCTTCGCTTATTCCTTCAGCTACCTCCATCTGTTGAAGACTTTGTGTGACAATATTTTCAAGTTCTTTGTCATCAACGGGGTTCAAGGCTGCTTGCTCATTTCGAGCACCCTCAATTCTCTTTTTGAGTTCTTCAATCTGGGATTCCCAAAACAAGATTGATCGAGCCAAAACATCATGCTTGTCTTTGGCCTGGATTTTAGCACGCTCCAACACCTCTGCTTCTTCATAAAGTCTCGATGTTTGGTCATAAGCTTTAGACAAAGCCTCTTGTTTGGTTCGAATCTTAGCCTCAGCATCATTAACCCTAATATATTCACTGCTAACCTCATTGAGCAAGATTTGTAGATCATATATGGTCTCACTTACTTCAGGTGGACAGACGCTAAGATCTATCTGAGAAAGCAACTTCTTCATCGAAAAATAGGCTGCAGTGTCTTCTTTTAGAATAGTAAAAATGTCAGCCTCAAGAATAGTTTTGTTGACTTGTTGAAGAAGTTGGTCTAGAGAAGTAAGAGGGGCATTATCCTTCGTTTGGCTCGAATCTTCAGATTGATTTTTGCTAGAAGAAGAATCCCGTTGAGCTAGCATTAACTTGATATATTTCAGGGGATTACTCCGTTTTAGCTCTTCTTTCTGTTCCCCAGTCAAAATTGGAGGATCTGGGTTTTTAGTGAAAATAGTTCCAGCATGAACGGGAACTTCCACCTCCTCTTGCATCACCTCATCTTCTTCACCATCTGTGAAGTGACGACTCACATTATGTGTTTCGCTTTCCTCTTCAGATTGGTCAGCAAAATGCACTCTTCTGGGAGAAGAGTCACTAGGATTGTCGATGATGGGAGTTTCGAACACTGTGTCTGGTTCGCCAGCTACAAGGCCCTCTGTCGGAGGAGGCGAAGTTTCTTGTTGGTCTAAATCTTAGACCAATGGAGGCGAGGTTGCTTGTTGATCCAAGGCTTCGACGGTCCCTGCAGGATTAGTAGCAGTGGACGAACCTTTGTTTAAAACGGCTTCGTTGAAACCTTCTGGTTGAGGAGAAGCTGCAGGTTTTAAAGCTTGGCCTTGAATGGTAGGAGGATCAGAAGGAGAAAAAGGAACGCTCTGCACAGAAACAAAGGGTTAACATAAAGAAGGTTACATAGTCAATCTAAAAAAGCATTAAGTGAGATTTACCTCTTGTTCATCAGAAGTTGCATTGCTACCAATGCGTTCTGAAATTACGTTCTCCGAAGACTGAGACTTCGAAGGTCCTTTGGATTTGGGCTTGGGAGCAGTCACATTCACTTCTCTTTTTGAAGGATTGGCGAATTGAGAACCTTCGCCAGTTTTGTTGGTTTTCTTTTTATTTTTTCGTTTAAAAGGAGAAACGTCTTCATCCTTTTCTGATTTGTTTTCAGAATGGGCACCATCGCGTCTTCGTTTCCTAGGATACTTGGGAGGTAGTCCACTCGCCTTTAGAAATGAAAAGAATAATTAGTCAATTTAAAAAGTAATTTCAACAATAAGAAAGGAGTGAGTGAAGTATTACCTTTTTCTTTTTTGGGGAGTCATCTTCTTGTTCAGGAGGATGATTTTCAGTAGTGGTCATTGGCGCTTTCGAAGTAGAAGTTGAGTCTACCTTGGGTGCAACTTTGTCCTTTTTCAAAGATTTTAGATCAACAGCTGAAAAGAATATGAAACGGTCAAGTTTAAAACGAAGTTTAGAAAGAATAAGGGAACTTCGAATTTCTTCAGTTCCACACCTTCGCCGTTTCGAGACGTGATAGACATGGCTGACAAGTCATAGCGAAGGTGCCCCCTGAAATTGTCTAAATCATGTTTAGCCCACGTTACCCTTTGGGCAGGTTTTTTGGCATCATTTTCATATATACGAAAAATATTCCCACCAACGAACCACCAGGAATACGGGGGAAAAAAGGCCAAAGCCAACTCTGAAGTAGGTAGGTTTAGAAATTTCGGTGGTTGATGTTTAAAAGCCCACCAATACCTATCTTCAGGTTTTACATAAGGAGGAAATCGAATTTTTGAAAGTTGTTTTTCAAATTTTTCTTTCAAAGTTCTTGCTGCTTCGCAGACAGTTCGATATATTTCCATAGGATTATAGACAATTTCGAAATATTTTTGGAAGGCTCGAATTTCCTTGACATGAGTAAATCTACCTTTTTTGACATGCTCCTACACGAGGGAAAAAGCTGTCGTTAATTATTGTTGAATTTGGATGGTGATGAACATATTATTCGAATAATAAGCCGTCCACCAAGTATAAAAATCTTTTGTCATATAAAAGGAAGGAGTAAAGAAGACTAGTGAAAAGTCAACAAAGCCAGCATATCGCTTCTGTCGAGTTTCGATTTCTTTGAAGGAGTAAGGTACCCCTGCTAAACATATCTCCCTTTTCTTGTTAAAGAGAGGCTCAGGTAGAATTTGGCATAGTCCGAATTGACGGGCCACGAAATTGGGTTGATAAGCAAGGATACACACTTGGCTCTTCACATGCATGATCCTAGAAATGATAAGCCTAGGGTTTAAAAAGGCACACCAAATGTCCCTGTTTATTTCTTCTTCGATGGCTTGTTCAAGGGGCATGGTAAACCAAGTTGGACCACAGTTTCGATTGGAAAAAGGGGCCATTGAAGGGTCAAACCTATGTCTTTTAGAGAAAATCATCTTATAGTTAACGAAGCATGTCTTGAAATTTTCTCTTTCATCGTTTGGGGTTAGTTTTAACAACCTAGTGCCTTCAATGCTACGATTTACAACGTCAGGATGTTCTTCATTAATAACCCCAAAGGTTGATAGAGATGATTCAAAAGTGGCATTTAACCAAAGCTGCAATAGCTAAAAAGGGCCAGCGAGAAGCAGATTAGTGCCAGCTTCGTAAGTTTTCAGTTTCGAAACTGCAGCACCTATGCTTTCATATAAGCTTGTTAACAGTAACTCACTGATGCACACCCTTCGACCATGATGAAGTTGATTTGCGAGGGCGATGAACCTGCTAGCAACTTGTAGAGACTTGCTGCAGAAGATGTATTTTGATAACCACAGTGCCAAAAAATCTATATGCTCGACATCAGAAACCTCCTCCTCAGCAGAGTGATAGAAATTGATGTATTTTGAGAAGCTAGCATTCTTGACATCGAAGTCAATAAGGTTATCTGCATCTTCATTTGGATCAAAAGTTTCCCCAATAGGGGAGAGTCCAGTGATAGCAGCAATGTCGAAGAACGTGGGTGTCAGCATTCTACAAGGGAGATGGAAGGTATTATAGGTGCTATCCCAAAAGTATAAGGAGGCTAGCAAGAAGGGTTGGCTATAACTAAAACCTAATTTTGACATTCAAATCAGATTTAGGATGCCTATACTTTCCCATTCCTAGGATTTCTTATTTTCAACTTTCGAAAGCCAATCTTGGTATAGTTGATCTGATGAGGGACATGAGCGAAAGGGTTTGAAATTCCCAGTAACATAGTCCATACTAAAAACGTCCCTCATAGGTTTTGACGTTTCTGTTTCACATGTTTTCTCTTTTAGGGTTTTTGACAGCCTAACAACCGATTCATCTTCCTTAAGTTTTAGAGGGGTGGATTTATTAACAATGGGTTTGGTTTCGGAATAC